TGGTGCTGGGGGATTGAACCGCGGTCCCTGATGCTTTGCCAAGCTTGTTCTAAGTAGGTGCTTTAGACCACTGAGCCATCTCTCCAGCCCCTCTTATTATTTTTAAGAGATGTTTCCTTTCATGTTCACTAGCTGCAATGCTATCTTTAGGGTATGAAATTCTATCTTCTGTTTCATTCGAGTAGTTTTGCCAGCTTTCAATGGAACTGTTAATATCCAGAACATCTGTTTGAGTCTGTTTCAGGCATTCTAATTCTTTCTTGTATTGTTCATTTAATATTTCATCATTTTCCTATTCCCTTCTATTTTTTAATGTGTCTTCCTTAGATGTATTGAACAATTATTTCGTGACTTTTGTCATTTCCTTTTTTACCAGAGAGACTATTTCTGATATAATTTCCTCTGTAGCCTGATGGAGTTGTTTCTTTACTTCAGTTGCTATCATCTCAGACATTTCAGATGTGTAATTTCCAAGTTCTTCTATGACCTTGCCTCCTGTACTTATTTTGGGTGGGCTAGAGGTCTGAGATTGCCTTTTGTTCCTTTTGTCTTTTTTTGTAATAATGGTAGAAGAATAGGGTGTAGGTCAGCAAGGCTCTCCAGAGAGTGGGAGGGCAGGGTCGGCTCACCAAAGCTTCTGCTGTGTGAAGTTCAATGTGATTTCTACTTCATTAAGGAGAGGGAGACAAGCTGCAGTTCAAGAAGGATCCAATAAGGCCAAAGTTGTGTAAGACTCTCTTGATGGTAGATTGGCTCAGGGTAGTGCTCTGCAAGGCTCCTGTAGGTCACTGTGGTAGTCAGGACTCCCTGGTGATCTTCAGGGAGTAATTATACATAATTATTTATATATGTTAAAAAGGGTCCTAAAAGGATGTTAAATATGTATATGTTACTATCATATGAGTTATTAGAAATACTATTGAGAATTTCTTAGTTTGAAAGAACATAAAAGATCATTTTCTGATCCTAATATTCCACTCCTCTTATAAATAATGTATATAATGGAGTCCTTCAGGTATCTTCATTAAACATGTAAATCCTTTTACTAATTGAAAGGATTGCTATTACTGTAATTAACTTGATACAAGTAACCTATCATAATGCAAGTCCAACCCTTTTTTTTCAAAGGCTATTCTGAGATGATTTGACACACAGAAAAATGAAACTTCTGGCTTGTGATATGCTACCCAAACCCTATGCTCTCCACTACACTCTGAAACTTGACTCCCAGAAGAGGAAGCTGACAAAGGGCTACAGTTTAGAATGGTGTCAGATGGACTCTGTCACACCTCACCCAGTAATAAGAACCACTGAATATTTAAATTTTATTCTTTAGGTTATATCTCATCCCTCCATTAATGTGGCTGCTTACAATGGCCTAATCAAAAGCATTATTTTCCCACTTGGGGTGAGAGTATAGAGACACTAATTAGATGAAAACTAAAAGGATGAAATACCTAAGCCTGACTTTGTCAGTTATCTATCACTGCAACCAGTATTTTTTCAGTATTTATTTAAATTGAGCTAATCAATTAAATTTATTTTCATTAAATAATTACAAAATTAGACATGTATTGTTTCTAGTTGTACTGACCAGATAGATTTCCCTTATCAATTTTAGTCAAAAAACCCTCTAAAAATAGAAATAATGACTATCACCTAGCTGTTTTGATTTACAATAAAAATTCCCCAAAGTATTTTCAGTTCCATAAAATGAGAGCATATTTTTATTGATAATACAATTTTATGATCAAACTGAAATTGTAATTGTTAAAATATTGTGCCACATGTAGAGTGGCATAGGCAAGTGGGTATCTTTAATGTGAATTATACAGAACTAATAAATACAAACATATTTATTAGTACATGTGCTTACTTGCAGTGCGGGCCTCAAATTCTGATGCTATTTTTTGATAAAGATCTTCCTGTCCACTGAGTGATATGCATGCATTTCTGTCCCTCAGGCAGCTGTGTCAACTCTTCAAGAAATGGCCCCAGGAACAACATTCAGACCTGTCATTGGTGACCCATCTGTGGATCCAAAACAGTAATTTGATGTGGTGTTTTGGTGTTTTTTGTTTTTTGTTTTTTTCTGTTTCTGTGCTCTACAGTGGAAGTTGAATTAGAGGGAAAATTATTTCGAATTGTTAAAGACTCTGAAGTGATGAAAATTTTCCCTGTTCTTATAGCAGTTCTTTAAGTCAGTGCAGTTGGAATTAAAATGTGTTAGGGTGAACTGCAGAGCTTTAGACTGCTAAATAAGGATTTGCCAGGAAACAAGAGAGGACTGTGCCAGATGCAAACCCCCCACAGCTTCATGAGTAAGTCATTGCCATCTAACCTACCCTTGTTTCTGAAATAATTCCTTAGGGTAGCCCCCATTGTCCCTTTTCTCCCCAACAGTGTCAAGACTCTTGTGTTCTGCTGTGGCAAACATTTCTATGCTTTGCTGAAGCAAAGAGAATCTTTGGGGCCCAGGAAGCATGAGTTTGCCATCATCCGCATAGAAGAACTCTGCCCTTTCCCACTGGATTCATTACAACAAGAGATGAGCAAATACAAGCATGTTAAAGGTAAAGGTTGTTCTTAGGAGACTCCTTGCATTTCAGAAACCTGGAATCTATTCAGATATTCAGCACCTATTGTTTTAGGTGAAAAGAGACAGTGGGGACAGGGAAAGTTACTAGAAAATCAAATGCAATGGAGTCCAAGGATATGAGAAAAAGACAAGTAGCACCAGAGTCTCCATGTCTGTCTGTTCCCTTCTTTCATCTGAAACAACTAATTGAGTGCTTTGAGGTTAGTGGTGCTATACTATCATTTTAGAGGAGTACATTATAATTATAAATGACAAGGGTTTTTTTTTAATAATTGGAGCTGGAATATTGGATGTCTGTATGTACCTTCCATACAAATTAATTCAAAATTAAATTAACCATAGCTTAAATGTAAAACATAAAAATATAAATCTGTTAGAAGATAATGAAAGAAAATGTTTTTTATTTTGCGTTAGCAAAAAGTTCTTAGTTAAAATAAAAAGTACACTCTGTAAAAGAAATTTAGACTTTATCAAAGCAAAAAACCTAGAGAAATAGAGGGGCTACAAGTATAGCCAGTATTTTGGCCCTAGCCCTTCAAGATCAGTGAGTATTCAGCACATAAAAGTACCTGTGCTGTGACATCCTATAACTCAGTGGTGTCCCAAAGTTTCTGATCAAAGAGATTATGGGACCACAGAGGAAAGTGATTGACAATGTATAGTGTGCCTAAGGAGAGTTACCTAGAAAGAAAAAAATTCTCTCAGGCTTTCACAGAGAGCAACTTGGTCAAACAATGGTCATGACTCATCCACATAGCTGACACTGATAAAAGGCCCACAGGGTGCTGTACATGATTCCAGGGTGAATCCTGAGGGAATTTGACTGACCTTGTCAGATAGCAAAAGTTACATTTTGAGTTATATAGGTCTTGCTTTAACTTGGTCTTAACCATCCAGAAGAAAAGTATAACCACGAGATATAAAAGTAAAGCTATAGTAATATGCCGAGCTGTAAAAGGCTCAAGTCAACAACTTCAGACAATTACCAGTTGTGCTGATAACCTACTACCAATATGGACTATTGGAGTATATTGGGTTATTTTGATGAATTAAATTACCTACAATCTTTGGTCTGGCATCAAGTATGAAAAGGTCCTTTAAAGACTTCTCCAAATACAGCTTCTCTTACAGCAGTGGAACACCCATCTCTGACAAAGCAAAGAAGGGGGAAATAAATAAAAGATATTAAAAAAAAGAAATTTAAATATCAAAAGTGTATCTGGTAGGGCCGGGGAAATGGCTTGGTAGAATAAGAGCTTGCCTGGCAAGCACAAGGGCCTGAGTTCAAAACCCCGGTTCCACACACACAAAAGTGTATCTGGAACAGGAATGAGGAAAAGCACAAAAGAAAGAAGGGGAAAAGATATATCTATGTATATATGCAGATAATTTGGATAATTTTACTGCTAATTTCTGTTGGTCTTTTGAAAGGAGCAGTTAATACTTAATATTTTTTCTTTTTATTACTTTATTTCCTTTTAATTTCTTATAACTTTTTTGGTGTTTTTTGTTTTAAACCAATTTTTCAGGGTTATACCTACTAACCTAAACAACTAATTTGAAGATAACATCATGCAATACAGCAACCATTGTTGAATTCCTGTTACTTTGTTTAATGAAATTTTGTATCATTTCTATTACTGTTTTTCTTATTGGTATTGTATTCTTTAAAATAATAAAATATATTTAAGAAATAAAAAAATGAAAACTTTTAGGTTCTGAAAAATGCTATAAAGAAAGTAAGACATACTATAAATTGGGGGGAAATAATTGCCAATACATAGCGATAAATAATTATCTATATTTTAAATAGCTCTTAATACTTAACAGTAAGAAACAAATAATTCAGTTTTCAGAATGTTCAAAATGTTTGAAAAAGCACTTTTGCAAAGAATTGGATGACAGATGAACACTTGAAATGATGCTCAACTTCATTAATGGTTTAGAAAAAAAAAAAGTCATATGTGAGATATGGCTACCCAGCTGAGAGAATGGCTAAAATTAAAGTGAAACAGTAGGCTGACAATATACACTACTGATGGGGAAGAAAAGTAATAAACCTCACTCAGTGCTTTTGTGAATGCATGTTGTAGTCCCTCTGGAAAAATCAGTTTACTATAAAATTCAGCATAAGTTACTATATAACCTAACAGTGGCACTTCTTGGTATTTACCCAAGAGAAATGAAAACTCATTCACAGAAAAATCAGTATTCATATATTTATAGCAGCTTTATTAGTAACTGACCCAAACTGGAGACAATCAAAATGCTCTTCCAGTGGTGAGTCAATAATCACAGTATGCCAAAGCATTAAACATCTGTACAATATTGTACTATTCAACAATAAAGAGGAGTAATTATTATGTACAGCATGGATAAATCATAAATGTATTTAGTTAATTAAAAGATGTCAGACTCAAAATGCTGCATCCTGTATGATTCCATTTGTGGCATTCTGGAGAAGTCAGAACTATAGAGTTAGAGATCTATGATTGCCAGTGGGTTGGAGGGGAGTTGGTCATAAAAGGGTAGGATGAGGAAATTTGGGGCATTGGTACAACTATTTTGTATCATGATTGCATTGGTTGGTACCTGACTATGTATTTGTTAGAGAAAAAAAAGATAAGCAGCACTGTGCCATACTGGGAAAGTGTGTATTTAATAGAGGATGGATAACTTTCTGTCTATCTATGTATCTATTCATTCACTCATCACCCTCACCTTCCTGCCCACCCTGTTTGGTACACATGTTTAATTGAGGTACTTTTTTATAGATTTTATCTGGAGCCAGGAAGAACCACAGAACATGGGTCCATGGGTTTTTGTTTCTCCAAGATTTGAAAAGCAACTGGCCTGCAAGGTAATAGCTCTTTGCTCTTTGTGTGTGTGTGTGTGTGTGTGTGTGTGTGTGTGTGTATGTGTGTGTGCATGCGTGTGTGTGTGTGTGTGTATTTTTCCTGGAGTGCCAACATAGGGGTTTCTATTCCAAGTTCAGTTCTTTAAAGAATAAATATATAAAATCTAGCTGTAAATCAGCACTCATGTAATCCCAGCTTTTCAGGATGCTGGAGCAAGAAGTTCACTTCAGCCCATAAGTTCAAGTCCAGCCTGACTTGTATAGTGAAAATACAGCAAGACTTTCACTTAAAGATAGGAAAAAAAAGAAAGAAAGAAAAGAAAATCTACTTAAACAATAGTTCAGTGTTACTATTTCAAACCAAACAATTTGGTTTTCAAACAAAAGTGCTTGGCAAAATTTTGCTTCCATTTTTAAACTCCATGTCTGGTGACAAACACAACCATGGCCTTCTTCCCCACACAAACACAAAGGCAGCCATCTTCTTCAGAACTGAAAAACATTTTGTTCGTAAACCAAGGCACCACTGTATTCTTTAGAAGGAACCCTAAATGTTTATGAAACTGTATAAATATTTATACAAATACCTAGGACTAGAAGAATTTAAGATATTTGAGCCTTTTGGACATAGAACTGTTCATATAGATGTTATTGACTGAGTATCCTTAAATTCTGCAGTCCAAAATGCTCCAAAAACTAGGGGCTGGGGAGATAGCTTAGTGCAATAAATGCTTGCCTGGCAAGCACAGGATCCTGAGTTCAATTCCCAGTATCAAAAAAAAAAAGAAAAAAAAAGCACCAAAAACAGAAACTTGTTGAGTATCATTTTGATGCTATAAAATTTTTGCACTTTGGATCATTTCAGAATTTGAATTGAGAGCCAGCAAGATAGCTCAGTGGACTAACTGCCTGCTTTGGCAAGCACAGGGACAAGAGTTCAATCCTTGGTCCCCCATGCAGTGCCAGCCCTACCCCTTGTGTGTGCTGAGCCAGCAACAGAGTCTAGGCATGGTAACCCACACTTGTAATCCCAGTGCAGGGGAGTCTGAAAACAGGAGGATCACTATGAATCTGACTTGTATAGTGCAACCCTGTACCAAATACATAAATGGAAAAAAAATAATTTGGACTGAGACTGTTCAACCTGTATTATTCTATTTATTAATAGAAAGTAAACACCTTTGTCTGTTGGCTTCCCTGCCCACTCCCTCCCCAGGATCCCTTACTCAGGCCCTGGAAAAGCAAGGTGATGAATGAATAGGCTTGTTTTACAAGATATAGACTTCTGATTTTCTTTAGAAAGGAAAAAGAGGAGAAAACTTTGTGCTACACTGATTAAAACTTGGTTCATTCTCTCTCTCTCTCTCTCTCTCTCTCTCTCTCTCTCTCTCTTTCACACACACAGACAGACAGACAGACAGACAGACACACACACACACACACACACACAATAGCTTCTTGCTGTGTTGCTCAGACTCAGGATCCTCACGCCTCACCCTCCTGAGTCACTTCACTTATTTGATACTAGTTTGATAGACTCAGATCATTTTCACACATATGTAGTTTAAACTAAGAAAACTCTAAAGCTAAAACCAACTGATAATTACAAAAAATAGGACAAATGCAAAAACTTGTTTTACTTTATCCTACCTGGAATTTATTATTAGTAACAATGTGTTTTTGTCTAATCTGTTCTCCATAGCTCATTATTTTACTAGAGAGGATTTCTAGTTAAAGCTAAAAGGAATTGATTCACCTTCTTGGTGGAACTAAGCAGAAGTTTGATCCAGTCAAAATGTCATTTAACTTCTCTAATCCAATGACAGCTCCATCTCGTGAGCCGCCCACCCTTGCCAGCACCCGCGGTAGGAATTGGCACAGTACACCAGCAGCAGCACGAAGACACGCTCACCAAGACCTTCACTCAATGAAGACCTCTGAAGAAGGACTACTGATAGGAAAACTGCAAGAGACCAAGGCCTGTTCCCCTGCTCTGTCCCCTTCCCCTTGGGAAACACAAAAACTCTGTCTTTAAGATGTTGAGATAGGAGCAATACACAGGAGAGTTGATTACAAATCCATAAATCAAACTAGTAAATATTCTCCTTTAAAGAAGAACAGCAGTGTGTTTTGTTTAGATCTGAATGAGCTGGAGAACTAGGTCATTAGCCTGATGATTCCAGGGTCCACTGGAATGAACCACACGTGACCCAGAAAAGTTCTTAGCCAGAACTTAGACTACTGTATAGATGATCTCATCACTGCTGCTGTATTTTTGATGTGTGTCACTTTCATTAATTTTTTTTCAAAGTCTTGTGGCTACCAATGTCTTCATTTTATGTCCTCTCTGGTGCTGGTTTTCAGGCACTGTACTAAATGTTCTACCCAACATTGGCAAAACTAGGTTATCCATGATGTATATACTGATCTTAAAATTAGGTCATATTGTGATAGAAAATTTTAAAAATTAAGAATCAACTAATAGTATGAAACCATATTAGGGGGGCTGGTGAGATGGCTCAGTGGTCTAAAGCACCTACTTAGAACAAGCTTAGCAAAGCACAGGTACTGTGGTTCAATCCCCCAGCACCACATGCCAGCCAGCCCCGCCCCCTGGTGGGCTGAGCTGGCCACACACACACACACACACACACACACAAATAAATAAAATTAAAAAAAAAAGAAACCATATTAGGAAAAATTAAGATCATGCAGCCCACCACGTAGCTCCTCTGTTGGACTCACTCAGCCTTGACTGACTACACCCCACGACAAACCGGAGATAACCTGGCCCATCTCCATTTGCCCACACCCACCTGCATAGCCTGTACTTTCTCACCCCTAAATGTATCACCCTGTTTGCTACCTTGTTTCAAGCACCTTCTGTTCATCAATGAAGAATAACTGATGCTACGCAATAAAAATTTACCATGCTGTTTAAGCCTTTGTACTTCCTGTTTGCAAACTAAACCCGAAGCAAGCTCTGTGTGATCCCCCATCGGCCTGCTGCCTTAATAAAGTTGCTTGCCTTCCAACTCCTTGGTGCAAAGCATTTTCCATTCAGTTTAGTACAGGTTCCACAACACTGCTAAGTACATTCTCAGGATGTATGATCTAACCCTATACTTTTAAATTAAGAAGTTTTAGCTAAATTGATTTATGGTCTATTTGGCTATAATCTTCTTTGTTTTTTTCCAAATTGTTCTTGCAATCCTACCTTATAATTTTTAATTGACTGTTGTCTGGTATGGGAATTTCAGCACCCAATCACTCACTGCAATGTGATTAGTTGTGGTATTTAAACAGCACTCTAACTCTGACAGATTTTCTCAGTGCTAGGTGTTGGAGGATTTCTTAGAGGTCCCCAGTAGACTTATTCTATCTGAAATTAAACCTGAGGCTAGCTGCCTAATTGAACAGCAAACAGCAGCTTCACTTGACTTGGTACTGTGAAGACCACCAGCTTCCATTTTTGTGCAATGACATTGTTTTTTGAGAAGTAAAGGGACATACTGGGTCTACAACGTGGCCACTCTCTCTGCTTTTACCAGCAACTGGCTGTGTCCCTCAGGATCAACATGTGGGGTGTTCTGACTTCAGCAGAAGATACTGGTTTACATCTTCAAGGTGTACATCAGTATCATGATTTCTACGTCATTCTTTTCCTTCTTTCTATCCACCTCCATGCTTCCTTATCTCTAAACCTTAAAAGTCATACTTTTACATCATTCATGTAAATTGGTAAGATTACAAAGTTCTATTTAATGGCAGTGTTATCAGTTTTGTATTTTTAGTAAAAAAAAATAAAAGCATAATGCCATTATTTTATCAGAAGTTTTGGTTTCTTGAGTTAAAAGATTTAAATGTCTAAGTACAAAAGGAAATGGAACATCTGTGTTAAAAATTTTTTTCTTTAAATTAACAACTGGGACCTGCCCTTACTAAGTTTTTTCACATCAAAAGAAATTACCAACAAAGTGAAAAGGCAACCCACAAATTTGGAAAAAAATCATGACAAATAAGTACTCAGACAAAGGTCT